ATATGAATTTTATAATAACTTATGGCTCTTATGATTAAAACAAGTGCTCTTATAATTATTTGTTTATTTTAAACATTACACAATTTATTGATGGGTACCTGGGTACTAAAGTAGTTTCCATGAACTCTTCAAAAACCTTGTATTTATAAACAAACAATTTTGCTTAATTATTGTATCTCCAAAGTTTCAATATATTTATCATTTTATTTAAATATTTGGTAAGGTATGTAAATATTATTTTATTTAATTATAAATGCATTTTAAAATTATTACATTTTTTCCAAATTTCACATAAAAAATACCAGAATAAAAATGTTTGAATTAAGGATTATGTTTCTATTAATAGATAAATAGCAATAATAATAATAATAGGAAAGTCAATGATTATATGTATTTTAAAAAGTTGTAATTGAGATTAACAGTAGATTTAATGGAAATATTTAAGCGATTTTCCACTCGTTCAACATCTGAGCGCATGAGTCCATCCGCGATAACCAGGCGCTCAGGAACACCATTACACCCAATAGTATGGAGAATATCATGAATATTGTCTGACATTTATTCCTCGCGATCATCGATGAGGTGTCGCTCTCGACATCCTTTTCCCCGTTGGATGCCATCATATATTCACTGCTGTTGTGATCCCTTTTGTTTTGTATGAAACGTGTGATGAGATACAACACCCAGAATATGATGGACACCACGTGCACCACACGTACTACCCATACGGTGAGACTCATTATTAGGTACTCATTGGCGCCGATATGCCAGTGGACCGACGCTATCAGGTAGTAGTCAAAGGGCAGGTACACTAAACACCGTAGGATTTCCACAATTGGCGCAAATTTTCTATTAGTATATTAAAAATAATTTTAGTTTTAGTTATAAAACTAATCACTGTATTAAAAAATTTTTTTTGAACAAACCTATTGTCAAATATAGCACCAAATGATGTCAATACAAATATGATGTAAAACATTCCGATCAGTCCTTTCATCGGTGAGAATCGCTTTCATAAATAGTTTCAAAATAAGTATTAATAATAAAATTAATTATAATTTGTTGGGAGGAATGCCTACAATGAATGGATGGTCAGCCAGTAGGAAGAACCCCAACACGACGATAGCGCCGTGAAATCCGGTGTAAACGATTTTCCAGAAGGGTATGTACGGGTCGTAACTATATCGGGGAAGTGTTTTGTCGGGCTCGGGTACGTCACTGATAAGCCCGAGTCTGGGTTTGCCGGGTGCCCACCCTGGTCCCTTGAACAGGGCCGACATCTTATTGCCAAAGCCCTGAACGGTATTGAATTTTTGCCAAACATCTCGATAGTACCCGAACTGAAGGATCATTGGGTCGAAGGTCTTGGGTGTGGGCGACACGACTCCGAAGATTATTTTGTCTGTTTCTGTCTGATGAGTGCCAAACAGTCGGTCCCATATCATGATGAGGGCGCCGTAGTTCTTGTCGATACAGTAGGGGTTCTTTCCGTGATGTACCCGATGCTGACGCGGGGTATTGATTATGTATTCAATGAAACCTAAGTTTCCGATCACTTCGTTGTGTAACCAAATCTGATAGATTAGACTGAACTGAATGTGCACCACAAGGATGGGCGGAGGGATTATGACGGCCAGTGGCAGTGGGAATATCTAGTAATTTAGCAAGATACATTTAATGTAATTTAAATATCAATTCTTAGTTAATTTGTTAGCTCCAAATATTTACTGGCTATTCTGTGCTATATTTTTGAATTATTTTTAAATAAATTATTCTGTATGCTAATGCTGCATTAGTAATGCAAATTACAATTATTTCTGAATTGCATGATATTTGTAAATCTTGTTCAAACAGTAAACTACAGTAAATGTCCAAATTAATAGTCTAGTTAATAATCTTAAAACTAAAATTCATCGAATTTTAATTAAATTTTGTTTGTGCTTTTTAAGATTTTTGTAGTAATTCAAACTATACTGGTACAGTATAATGCAAATATGAGTATTAAAGTGAAATGAATACAGACATCATATATGACCAAATCGACGATCGAGTCCCGGATGGTTGTGGTTATGTTCACATCCTCTGCCATGTGATGAAACTGATGGGCAGCCCATAGGATATTGAACTCATGGAGGGACCGGTGGGTCCAGTAGTACACGAACTCCACTAATAGTAATGACAGGAGCCATGTCCACACGGAATGCAGTGGTAGGTCCACAATACGGTAGTTATCGTAGAGCCACGTGAATATGTTTATGACAATTGTCAACAAAAATACGCTACAATTAAATGCATGAATTTATAATCAGTTAATTTTTATTGCATTTTATTCAAGTAATATATACTCTAAACGAGAAATTCTCTGAATAGATGGACAAGACTTTCCTCAATCGATTTGATAACACTTTTACACATTTTTAATGCTATTTATTGTATTAATCATTAAATATTTATATTTCGTACAAAATTAGGTCATCTTATGATTCTGGCGACAAATATTTGGTTTAGTTTTTATTGGAAATATTAATTTGCTGTTGAAATTCATGTGATATTTCAATGTTTATAAGTAATACTTTGATTAATTGTTTTCCATAATATATAAAAATTATAATTTATGAGTATTGTATAATAAATAATTAGTTTGATTGCATAATTCACAGGTAGGGTACTCTTTTGTAATACTTAATAACTTTAATTTCACTACTTTTGTCACTCAAAACCACATTAAAGTCTGACTTAAAGCAAGATTTCATTATCACTAGAAAATTAGAGCAAAAAAGATTTTTAACCAAAAATCTTGAACTTTTCAAACTCTTCAACTGCAGCTAAAATATTTACCATTGATTTCAATTGATAAAAGTTTGAGAGAGAGAGAGAGATCTGATGAAATACACTTGAATTTAAAATAATATTAATTGTAATTTAAAATTATAGATAAGAGTCTATAATTTAGTGTTCAAACAGTGTTTTATTTAAACTGAATCTTCCTTTTCAATAGCAATGTGTATCATCTTAAAAATTCATTTCAATTAATTAGTATTATTTAAACATAATTATTTAATCTTTTACAGAATGACCTGAATTATAAAAATTAATTAATTAAAAAAATTTATCAAAATTCTTAAAAATAATAAACAAACAAAATAATTTATAAAAATTTATATCCATATAATTATATGAATAAAGTATATGAATAAATAAAATTACTAACATACCAAAAATTATAATTAATAATAATTAAGACTCCTAAATACCAAATTAACTATAAGTTTACAATCATAAATAACTTATTAGACGATTATGTTGGATTATATAAATTGCTTGTTTGCAATATAAAATAGCAATTTATATTGACATTTATAAACATAAACTAAAAATCAATGAGACTGTACTGACCGGGCTAATGTGAATATGAGTGATGATCCCGTATTAACCACCAGATCCGGAAATCTTGACAATTGTTTTCGTTGGAAGAATCGGATGACCTGTTCGATGACCAATAAGAGGCCAATCGCTGGGATTAACTGAAATATTTTGCATTAAAAATGAATTCGTAAATAACTGTATAAAACTTATTTAAATATTTTAAAGTCTAATACTTACGGCCACTTCATAGTCGGGCACCTGATAGGGGTCGTCATAAGTGGACTTCTCGGGGGATATGATGTAAAATAGTGACACAAACTGCTCGACAAAGCGGTCGGAGCTGTCCCGTAGACACCGTTGACCAGCTGTGAGGGCCAGTACGGAGTCGTTTAGTATATGTTCTGTCATTATTAGTACAGAACTCATTCACAACACAAATACTGCGATAATTCTTGTGTTGAAAAGTCAGCGAAATATATGTTTCTTTTGAAACAAACTTTTTATAAACAAAATATATATGACTTTCCTGTCAATACAGTAAATCAAGAGTCAGTTGAGGACAGGGAGACGACAACAGGACAGTTAGTCAACTCAAATGTGTATTAAAATTTTTTAAGTGAGGAAAGTATGAGTCGTTTTCCTTTTAAAATTGTTAATTAATTACATGAAAAAATCAAAAGGTATTTCAAAATATCTTTTGATCACAATTTTTGCGTTTCGTTTGAATTCATAAAAAATTTTCATTCAAAATATGTTTAAAACAAAAAACATTTAAAAGCTTTCAATTGGTTTGTCACCAGAATATTCCCCATTAGATTAGTTTAGTTATGAATGTAGTTTACAGTACAGTGGAGTACAGATCGAGGGACTGTTAGGTATGGGAGCACTGTTACATTTGTAGATCTTTATATACCAACACACAGAATGCAAACATGCTAATTTTCTGTTCAAACTAAATGCAATTTATTATAATTGTCAAATTAATGTACCCATAGTTAAATACAGTTTGGTTGCAGGTATAGGGAGGGGAGTTAAGGAGCTATAATAGAAAGTAAGAGTGGGACTGGTCTGTTATAGGCTATAGCTTGTAGCTAACTGTCCCCTATTGGTTATCAAACAATTATTTCTCTCTTTGTTAATGTTTTTCGGTTTTATTCCACTGTTTTGTGGAAAATATGATTTAATATAAATTGGTTTTCGCTTCAAATATTGATGAGATTTTTTGACACAATTTAGATCTAATTATAAACTTTAGATTTATACACAAATTTAAGCAAATAAATAGCTATAATTTATACATTGTTAATCTCTGTTTAACACACATTTTTATACCATATCACACAAATTAACGTCAATTGGACTTCAATGTTAAATGATTTTTGTGACGATTTCTAAAATTTTATTCAACTTTTAGATAGACATCAAAGAAATGTGTTTTGTCTCAGGATTTCAGTACAAATGTATAAATTATATTTCAATACATAGTTTCTAATTTGTACTATAAGTCAAATATCAAGGATAACCATTGCATAGGGGGAGAGGTTGGACTGAGAAATAAATACTGTATAATATCTATAGAAAATAAGCATAATATTCAATAAATATTAATTAACAAATTATTTGTAAACATTATGATTAGAATTAATTATGGCAAATTAAATAAATATCCATGGTATAGTATACATTTGTGTTATAACAGATCAAATTTATACTGGTAGACAAGCAGGGTATTTTAAATTTAATAAATCTAAATCTAATTTAAAAAATTTTAGATTTAAATTTAGTAAATTATTTAATTTACTAATTATAAAAGTTACAATTATTTTCAATAATATACAATAAAATTCTAATGTTTATTATTTTGCCTTTTTATAATTTCATGACATACTTGTCCTTCAAAGGAACTTTTGATTTAAATTATAAAAAACTATTTTTATAAATTAAAATAACATTAAAAATATTGCGGACTCATCGCCACTGGACTTCTGGTGCCACAGAAATACCTATTTATCAAAATGTTGTTTATTATGATTTACTCTCATTTATTTGGATGTAATACCTGTCAGATGTAAGGTAGGCAAACCCCGACCAAATTGCATCAATCTTTACAGTATATAATCTGGAAGAGGATCAAGGTATTCACGAGTATATCAACAGTGGCTTAAAGCTTACCCTCTCATAATATAAATGTTTTCAATATTAACATTTATTTTGTTTTGTTTTATTTTGGTTTAAATATCATGTATTTTCAGCACATCACCAGTGTCATTTCAAGCATATATTCTGGTATATTATTTATTATGAAAATACATTATTAATAATTTTTATATTATTTATAGATTTTGAGAATCAAAGTTTGAGTGAATAGTGAAAGCCAATAGTGACCCAAAGGGAGGCCAAACTATTTATCATACCTATCCTCTCACTTATGTCTAACCCTCACAAAAGAAACGATTTGGAAAATTTTGGATGATTTTCACAAAAGAGTCATGTTTTCTGTGAATAATGTTTATGTTTACAACCTTTTGTACTCTCTCTCTCTCTCTCTCCCTCTCTCTCTCTCTCTCTCTCACACACACACACTCACTCTCTCTCTCTCTCTCTCTCTCTCTCTCTNCTCTCTCTCTCTCTCTCTCTCTCTCTCTCTCTCTCTCACTCACTCTCTCTCACACACACACACTTTGTCTAAATACTTGGTCATTAATTATGGTAACATGTAAAATATACGAGTAACTTTTTGCTGACTTCTAAATCGTAAGTATAAGTTTTATACATGTAGATTAGGTGAAATATACAAATAACTATCAAATTAACAATCAGTAAACAGAATCCAATGCAGTACTTTAATGATATTAACAAATTACTAATTAGTAATTATAAATTTATAAGGGATTAAGCACAGTATTATACATTATAATATGAATTGTCAATAAATGATTTTCTATATATTGAAAAAGTATTAGAAAATGTGAACATTAAATGAATTCATTGTATTAATGGAGAGATATTTGAAAGGCCAGTCTTTTAGTCCTAAAAATAGGTGATAATAATTAAATGTTAACCGAAAGAAAAGCTGATAAACTTGTTTTGTCTCTCAAATGTGGACTCAATTTTTTATTTGAAATTTTTTTCAACATTAAAATACAAACCTATTTATAGCGTCCAAAACAGTACACGACTGGATGGCAAGACCTGTATATCTATGACTTCTCTCCCCTCTTATGATAACTCTCTTAACACAGAAAAAACTTC